GGTTTTAGCTTTTTCTTGCTCACGGTTTTAATTTATTTCAATGAACCAGATAAATTCTTATTTCATAACTATTGCCCGGCAGATATTTAGCCACGGTATTTTGGTGTAGGTGAAGCGAACCTTAGCCACGCCTATCACCTAACGAAGGTATTCCGCAGGTCTTAAAAGGGACGGGCACGCAAGCCAGAAAGTATACTTTAATTTCTGTTCTGTATGCAGATCAATGATATCGTGCATACGAACCCATTTATTTAGTGCCTAATCTTTTAGGTATTTGGTATTTTTATCGTTGAATACTAGGTGACTCACCTTGAACTCAGCCAAAGTGGGTTTTAAGCTTTCTCAGCCTTTCAACTAGCAACTAGCGCATGCTTTAAACAGATAACTGCTTCCTAATTTTTTTGCAATAGCTCTATATATTATCAACCAAATTCTTGCCTTGTAGGTATAAGGATTCAGATGGTGTGGCTTTAGTTTTGGCCACAGTCTCCTTTCTCAATGATTGTCATTGTAGTAAATGCTCTTTAATTGTCCTTAATTGGATCCCAGATAGGACCCAGAGACGCCAGCAAAACGGTTTTTCTGCATGGCCCCTTGCATCCTATACAATTTATTTTGATTGAATTTCCTTTTGTCTCTTGTCTTCTTATGTGCACACACACATACATGACGTTTTATCAGCCCGACTATTGATATATTCAGTTGCGACATTGGCTATTTCAGTACTTCCAACTCTTATTTCCTTCTTCCAGTATGTTCCTCTACTAGTGCTTCATCTAAAGGTGTCCTCTTTCTTCCCATTAGGCTATTTCCGTATATGTTAAACACATTAATGGAAAATTGTTGTGAAATTTTGTCTTATCTAAACGTAAAAAATGATTTGGTTAAAAAGTTTAACTGCAATTATTTCATATACAAACAATGAGTGAATTGGAAACTGGCCTTAAGAGATCGTTCTCAAATGATCGTAAGTCGGAAGATTTTGTTACAAGCTAGCCTAGGTGTGTGTGTCCACTTACCAGACATGTACAGGATAAAATATATTTACCTGATTTAGATGTTAATTTAAGAGCCCTCATAATGGAATAGTCATAAATATTCTATACAAAAGTGGATAGCAATACTCTATTTACTCTTATGATGCGCAAAACTGTATTATAGTTGGAGTATAACAAGTCTATCAAGAGATCCTTTTCTATTTAGCCACATTGTAGGGCCGAAGATGATGTCAGTTGAGGGCAGCAATGGGGCTTAGATTATAGGTGCACTATGTTGACATACTATCCTATTAGGATATATCCTAATATTGATAACCATATCACGCCAGGCGCTTCAACACAGCTTTTAAATTCCGTTAATGAGCCGATGCCTGAGTCAAAACAAGAATGGCTACTTTTATGCATTTCCCACATAAAGAGCAATTGTCACTTGAATGAACAATTATCCATTTATTTCAATGTTATACTCGTGCATATTACAACTAAGGCCTTCTTAAAGACATTCTCAATGACGATCTTCCTCTATCCCTTAGCTGTAAAAACTAATGTTCAAGATGAAGATAATCTTAAAAGTGGTTAATCAGTTTTATGTAATTGAGCATTACCTCCTGAGTGTTCTAAACTTCCATACATACAAATATGTTAATTTATCCCTAATCAGCTTTTTTATCATTATCTTTTGTTTGTCTAATTAAGATTTTTTGTTTTTTACGTCTTCGTATGCCTATAAGCATGATTATGCCTTTTGGAGCGCTCTGCCTGCCTCTCTTGCTACAAATAAATCCTACACTATTTAAGCTGCTCTACTATTAGTAGTATGTTTAGATGCTTTATGTAAATTTTTCAGAAAGCTTTGCGCCGACTAAAAAATGTTGCCGCTGAGCTTAGGAATGCAGTCGTCATTCAACAAAATATTGTCGCCCGCAAGCAGAAGTCAATGAAGGATCCCAAGACTTTGACCTTCTACTTTGGTGTCAATGTGCTTGATCGTGCCTGTGATGGCATGTTTGTTTATAATTGTTCTCGCCTAATCAAAATGTATCAGCGTATCGGTCCTCAACAAGATTCCAGCATGCTATGCAGAGGCGTTGTTGGCATCGTAGATGTCCCCTATATGGTTTTAGGTCAGTGTTCTTTGTTTGTATAATAATTATTTTTGACAATTCCAGGCTTTTTATAGTGGGAGATCATTATGAGACGTGCTCTACAGCAATTCAAAAATACTTTATTTAAGAAATTGCCTGGCCTTGTTTTCGCAACTTGGTTATATTTGCAGAAGACCTAGAGGACCACACAGTCCGGAGTCCATAGTATGCATGATAATTTTTAGAGTTGGACCGTGGACATCGTAGTCGGCATCGTCAGTGAGCATTGCCACTCTTAGCACTACACTATAACTCGTCAAAGAGACAAGTGAAGCTAATAATTTGACTAATTATCTGCTAAAAAATCGTGATACCTCTCCAGTTCTGGACTATTCACTTATCCTATATGCTCGTACCAACCCTGCAATATAACAATTTCTTAATTGCCTATTTAAATGTGTTCCTTTTAAGCGGATTTCATCAGAACTCTCTACACTCACGCAGGCTTTCTCACTCAATCACTCTCATTCACCCTTGTGCTAGGACTGTTGATCAAAGTCTGCCATATTGTTCCACAGTCCTCCTCCCATAGGTCTTATCAAAGTCTCCCACTCGCCCTGTAATATCAATCTGCTATCTCCATGGTTTAAGTATTTCATTCGACCCTTGCTATTCGAGGCGTTATTTTCCACATTCTGGGTCTGGGAGATTAACTTGAGTCTAATAATTGCGAATAATTTTCATGGTCAAGCCTTTGCTGCATGGACCACATCTATAATCAAACACCTCTACTGTCAGCTAACTAGCTCTAGTCTCCGCCGGATCTACCACGCTTCTATTCATAGTGCCAAGTCTATGATCTTCTATGCCCTAGTCTCTTGTGTGCAGAGACTAGAGCTTGTTGGCTAAAAGTAGAAGTGTTTGATCATTGACGTGTTCCATGCAGCAAAGGCTTGACCATGAGAATTACTCGCGGTCATTAGGCTCAAGTTAGTCTCCCAGACCCAGAATGTGGGAAATAACTCCTCGAGTAGCACAGATAGAGTGAAATACTTGAACCAGGGAGATAGCAGACAGATCCTACGGGGCAAGATGGAGACTCTGATAAGACATATGTAAGGAGGACTTTGGAATAATATTGCAGACTGATCAACATTCCCAGCACAAGTGTAAAGGAGGGTGAGGAGAGCAGAAAGCCAGTGTATCGTGTAGATAGTTCTCATTAAATCCGCTCAAGAGGGCACCGTACGACATTTAAATAAGCAAGTAAAAATTGTGATAGTGAAATTTGTAATAGGAGGATAAAAAATTTGTGATCAGGCCACGGCGGTAGTAAAGATACCACGATTGTTTAGCAGATAATTGGTCAAAGGATCGGCTTCACTTCTCTATTTGACAAGTTTTAGTGTGGTGTTAAGACTGGCAAGGCTAATTTACGATGCCGGCGAAACGTCTAGGAATGTACCACGTATACACTCTTATTCTGGAAATTATCATGCATCCTATGGGCTCCGGACAAGGTGCGTTTCTCTAGGTTTTCCTATCAATATGACCAAGTTGCGAAAACAAGATCAAACAACTTCTATAAAACGAAAGGAGACTGCGACCATATAAAAACCACTCCATCTTGGTATTCATACTTTGTTTAAATCTCATAAGCACTAAAGTGATTTGCCGTTCACATTTTATGAATCCCATCGGGAAAACTGACCTAGATGTTCGACAATGGATTTAACTCCTTCTTTATGCTTCCGTATTAATTCATCGATGACGAATTAAAAGCTAAAAATAAAAACAATAAATCGTCCCAATAAATTCTTATTTAAGCTTATAACCTAATTTTTTTAAAAATCATTAAGAATGAGACTAGTACCTATAATGGATGATTCATAAGAGGTTTTCTATAAACCGTTTGTTAAATACCCATTTTGACACAAGGAAAATTTGCCATTTATACTTATCCTTGAATTCATTTTTATCCCATGGGAAACCAGAGCCAACCCACAACAAGCAAGACTTTGCGGATGCCAAGGAGTATCGCCAGCTTATGCGTGCCATGGCTGACCATCTAATGCAATATTGGGATGATCTGGGCATTGACCGACCCGATCCCAGTTTTCAAATGTCACCGCTACTGGGGGGCTCAAGTGCTGGAGTTATTCGCTTCTGGAAAAGCTTCGGCTATCTCTCTGCGAGGTGGCGTGATCCACCTAGTCAAGAGGAAAAGTATATTCGAAAGCGCTGCTCCAGCGTCTCAGTTTGTGTACAATGTGGTAAGCTCGCCAAATTATTCCTCTCGGCTCTTTATCTCCTCATTTGCAAATTTAGCTCACTGACTGAGAGGCTTATCTTAGTTTATAATAAAGTTTGGTTTCTCCTAGTATTGGTTTGACCTTCCTTTCGCACTTGGTCGCAGCGTCAAGGAGAGCTTGTAGAACGTACTTAGTCCTGTATCCTCTGCTATAGTATTCGTGATTTGCAGCTTCGGACCATTGACTTGGTACATTTCAAACGTTTCGCCGGCATCGTCAGTGAGACGCCATTGGTAACACAGTTACAAGTTGCAGAGCTCATATCTACTATCTAATTATGGTGGTAAGATTACCAGTCAATTAACTGATTACAGCAATCATAAGTCAATCTTGCCATTTAACCTTTCTTAACTGTTGTAAACGTCATCACATTCCTTATAGCTTTTGCAATTTGACGAGAAAATATGATTTCAATTAGGTCAATATTAAAGTATACCAAACTTTGCAAAATTTAGGCGAGACATATGATAGAGAGCGGGAAATTAATTA